CTGGTGGATTTGAACTGCTGACCTTTTGGTTAGCAGCTGAGCTGTTAACTACTGTGCCACCAGGGCTCCATTTAAATCTATGAACATGGATAAAGTCTCTTAGGGAGAAAGTGTAGGCAAAGTAGAGTAGAGGATATAAGACTGAGCCCTGGAGTATGCCACCATTAAGAAGCAGAGCAGAGGAGGAAGAGCCAGCAAAGGAAATGGTGGAGTCACTATTGAGGTTGGAGGAAAATCAGAGGAAGAGGCTGTCATATGTGTTTAAAGAAAAGGAGTGATTAACTGTAATATAGTAGAACGTCAGAGGCCATCTAACTTCAGGAAGAAGAATGAGAAGAACCATCAGCCTAAAGCTGATTCCTATGGTCAGACATACCTCCAGTTTCCAACCTTTTTATTAGTTCTGACACTAGCTGTCCTCCCCACGGCACTCTCTACTTCCCTGTTGGGTTCGGTAATTCCTTGCAATGGCCACATAAGAACTCACAGATCATACTCACAGTTTTGGGGTTTATTAGGGAAGTAATAGGTTACAATTCAGGATCAGGATCAATGTGGAGGTAACAGAAACAATTCAGGAGACAGGAGACAGTTCATCAGTCAGGACAGCTTCCAAACAGGACAGCTCTCAGCTTTCTCTCAGCTGTGCCGGCAGGCAGGCCTCACTTCTTGGCCTGGCCTCTGCCGCCAGGCTCTGCTCAGGCCTAGCCTCTGCCTGCTCAGACAAGTGCTACAGCTCCGTTGGCTCCACCGTTAAGTGCCCAAAGGCACCCATTCTACAAGCAAGCCTCCTGCACAAAGACACTCAGCTCTCTTGCTCTGTGGGTTGAGCTCACTGCAGCCGTCTGCCGTCTTGTGCTGCTGCCATCTTGTGCCGTCTTCAGTGCTACAGCTCTCTGTCTCCTGGGTCTAGGAGGTTCTCAGCACAAGGACCCCAGGTCCTAAGGACATGCTCTGCTCCAGGTTCTTTTTTTTGATGGTAGTGAGGTCTCCCTCAACCTCCGTGGAATTGTCTCTTTTATAAGCCTACTCCTCCCACCAAGATCATGAACTGACCAATCCCCTCAGTAGGCCACAGGTACCTTACTTGCATAGTAAACTGTCCAATTCCGTTGGAGGATTGTGACCTAGCAAATCATGTTGGCAGAACTACAAATCCAGGGCCAGAAAGGCCACATATAAAGAGAAGCCCATTGCACTGCATTAGCATATTCAGCACCACTGAGAGGTTCAAGTAAGATGAAGAGAGGTTGTCACCAGTGCTGTTAACATGGAAGTCACTAGTAACCTACAAGAGCCATCTCAGGGAGAAAGTGGGATTGGAAAGCCTGATTGGAGTGGATTGGAGCAAATGAGGAAGTAGAATGAGAGACAGTAAAAAATTCAAAAATTTTTCATGAAGAGCACAGAAATGGAATGATAGCTAGAAAGGAATCTGGGTTCAAGGGAGGATTTTTCCCAAGATGGGAGACAGTTGGTCATGTTTGGAAATGATCCAGTAGGGAGAGAGAAAATATGATGTAGGAAAAAGAGAGTATAATCACTGGAGCACGAACCTTGAGAAAGTGAAAGGGATGGGATCCAACACACAAAAGGAAGAGATGGACTTTAATGGTAACAGGGATAGTTCTTTCAGTGAAAGAGGAGGTAAGGCAGAAAGTATTTGCAGGTTGGCAGATTCAGTGACCACCACTTTTCTGTCAGTTTGTGTTAAAGAGCAAGATGTCACCTTGACGACCAAGGTGATCCTGACCCAGGCCATGGTATTTTCAATTGCCTCATATGCATGCAAAAGCTGGACAAGGAATAAGGAAGACTGAACAAGAATCGATGCCTTTGAATTATGGTGGTGGTGAAGAATATTGAATATGCCATGGACTGCCAGAAGAACGTACAAATCTGTCTTGGAAGAAGTACAGCCAGAATGCTCCTTAGAAGCAAAGATGGCGAGATCACATCTCATGTACTTTGGACATGTTATCAGGAGGGACCAGTCCTTGGAGAAGGACATCATGCTTGGTAGAGTCAGGGAAAAAGAGGAAGACCCTCAACGAGATGGATTAACACAGTGGCTACAACAACGGGCTCAGGCATAACAACGATTGTGAGAATGGCACAGGACCAGGCAGTGTTTTGTTCTGTTGTGCACAGGGACACTATAAGTCAGAATCGACTCGACGGCACCTAACAACAACAGATTTACCGGTGAGATGATGAGGAAGTACTCATTTGCTCCTGTTTTCTCAATGACGTTTGAGCTAAGACTGTAAATTGGAGGCGGGGGTGGGGTGTTGGAGGTTGAGGGAGATGACAAGATATGACAGTCATTTTGGAATGTGGGAGAGTAAACTTGTCAGAAGCATGCCGTAGGCTCTCAGGTAGTGTTGTGCACCCATTTGAGATTTGTGGACATGAATTTAAAGTGACACCAGTCATCAGTGATCAAGTGTGATTTATAAACACCCAGGAATGAAGAGTGCTTGTTGAAAAAGATAGTGGTGCCCTGGTCTGACAGAGACTGGAGAAACCCCAAGACTATGGCCCCTGGATACCCTTTTAACTCAGTACTGAAGTCACTCCCGAGGTTCAGCCTTCAGCCAAAGATTAGACAGGTCTATAGGGCAAACAATCATATATGTGAGGAACGTGCGTTGTCGTTCAATCATGTATACGAGACTAAACAGGCACACTAGCCAAAAAGCAAAGATGAGAAGGCAGGAAGGGACAGGAAAACTGGATGAATGAAAACAGGGAACCCAAGGTGGAGAAGGGCACAGTGTTGACACATTGCAGGATTGGCAACCAATGTCACAAAACAATTTGTATATAAATGGTTTAACGAGAAACTAATTTGCTCTGTAAACTTTCACCTAATGTATAATAAAAATTTAAAAAAAATAGTGGTGCCCTCAGCAATTGTTTACTGAATAAATAAATAAACAAGTAAGTGAAGTACTACATAAAACATTTGGGCAGGAGAGCTGGAAGGGAAATAAACGATGTGTATCTATCTTCTTACATCCTACTTGAAGGAGACAAAACATAATTATTTGAGAACAAAGCCATATTTCAACAAGTGCAAACATATTAAGCTCTCAAGTTGAAGTTACAAACACTGAAGGAAATGCAGAGTATTGGCAGAGTGAAAATAGGATGAAGCTAATTTGGGAAAGAATTCCTACAGTTAATTTTCAGATCAGATCTCAAAAGTTACCTGGGACATATGTTAACAGAAAGGAGACGTAAAGGGGTTCGAAAAGCATTAGAAGTTAATGAGCAAGATGGGTAGTATGGAATGTTGTATGCAGTCTTGAATAAATAAATGAATAAATCAAGCTTAAAATGTTGTATGCAGTCTTGAATAAATAAATGAATAAATAAAGCTTAAAAGCAGGGATGATAAGAATTATCAGAGTTTAAGGAGTAACCTCTTTATGCTAAGCACTAACAGGTTGCTCATCTGCCAATATCTACTGTTGAGTATCTGCCTTGTACCCTGGCACTGTGCTAGTTGTTTTACATATATTATTTCTAACATTCACTACAACCCTACAAAATTATATATTGTTAAATATTTATTAGTAATTATTAATAATTATTAAAATTCAATTTCATAGATGAGATTGAGACTCAGCAGTTCAGTAACTTGGCCAACATTCCTGTAAATAAGGAGGCGAGGTAGGTTTTGAAGCCAGGTCTGATTCCATAGGGCTTCATTTAACTGTGTATTTCTCCCCTCTCCCTAGCACTTGCAGAGCTCTGCCCAGGGTAAATGGTCTCACCGCTAACCCCTTTACATCCTTTAGATCTCTGCTTAAACATCACTTCATTGAGAGGCTTCCTTAGCTATTCGAAAATAAAACCCATGCCATTCCAACTCAAAGTGACTGTGTAGGACAGAGTAGAACTGCCCCATGGGGTTTCCAAGGAGCAGGAGGTGGATTCAAACTGCCCACCTTTTGGTTAGCAGTGGCGCTCTTAACCACTATGCCACCGGGGCTCCAAAATAGATCTCTGGAAGTCTCTATGTCAGCCATTTCCCTCCCTAACATTTATTGAATTTTGCAATTATTTTATCAGTTTACTTTTTGATGTCTTTCCCTAACATTAAGCCCCATGAGACTGGAGTTATGTTTCCCTTTGATCTCCCAAAGCTGTGCTGCTGTTCAATACAAGAGCCACTAGCCACATGTGGCTATTGAGTATTGCAAATGTGGCCAGTCCTGAGATGTGCAGTAGGTGTAAAATAACAGATTCTGAAGACTTGGTATCAAGAAGAAAAAAAAAAAAAGGAGAATATATCATTAATATTCTAATATTGATTACATGTTGGAATATTTTTTTATATACTGTTAAAATACGATTAAAACTAATTTCACTTCTTTACTTTTTTAATGTGGCTACTAGGAGATTTTAAACTACATAGGTGACTCAAATTATATTTCTAGGTTCTTAAGACAAAATTGAGTGAAATAACCAATGTTAAGAGAGAAACCGAATGGGTGAGTGAAGAAACATTGTCTCTGTCTTTCATTAGGAAAATGGATACAGCATTGTCCTAGAAGTCAAGACATTTGGGTTCTGGTCCAAGGTTTATAGAAACACTGTGTAGCCTTGGACGAGCCCTTCCCTATTCTGGTTGTCATTTTGCCCATCAGCTAGTTATTTTTGAGGTCTGGAAATTTATGAGAGTAGGAGAAAGAGAAAAGTGGGGGAAGTCTGGTACTACAGAACTTGTCTTCTGTTTAGTTCTAGCCTCAAACACCTGACCACCTGCCCACGACAGCAGGCAGCGGGAACTGCATACTTGACCAGCGAACTGACTGCTGGGGAAGCCGGCTTCCTTGGGCCGACGTCACTGGGGTGCGACAGTGTTGTCCGTCTTGTCCGCGGGGCGGCAGCGGCTCAGAAGTTCTCTTCGGTGAAGGCGAGTTCCAGGCCAACAGAGGACCAAACAGTTCTTCAGCCTCTCTGAGGCTCTGTTCTCGGTACACCACCCTCCGCTGTCCTCCCTTTTACTTCACCCTTACAGGCAAAGGAGCCTGTGGCAGCCGGGGAGAGTCCGGGAAATATGAACTACACCTCTCGGCGCGCAGAACCGACCCCAAGCGCAGCTGCGCAGGGCACGTGCGCGTCCTCGCTGGAGTCCCGGCGATTGGCTGTGACGTAACTTCCGGTGTGAGCGGCGAAAGCCAGGAGGGTGAGCGAGAGAGCAAGCAGGCAGCAGGCAGCAGGCGGACGGGCGGGAGGACTGCACGGAGGGAGGGAGCGAGCCAGCAGTAAGTGAGCCAGCGAGGGCGGCGGTGTCCCGAGGGCAGCCGAGATTCCCCCCGCCTTTCTGGCCCCCTCCCCGGAGCCCACAGCGCCTCCGGTCTCCAGCGGAGCGGACACGGCCCGGCCCGGCCATGGCCTCGTTGCTGAAGGTGGATCAGGAAGTGAAGCTCAAGGTAGCGGCACCGGTCCGAACGTCCGCACCCCTCGCCTCGTTCTCTCAGCAGTCTGACCGACTCCCCACTCCCCATGGCGTCTTTGTCTCCCTGGGGACGCCAGCTCTGAGCTTCCGCTCGGGTCAGCCCAGCCCCCCACCGCCGGAGACGGCATCGGTGGAGAGAATAATAGAGGGTGGCCTTTAGTACCCCATCTGGTGATGTGGAGCCGCGGGGAGACCTCGGCGGACACGTGTTGGCCTCAAGGCTTTGGGCCAATGACAGCTGGAAATCCCCCAACCCAGCAACGTCCCCGCCCCCGACACTGCTGCTGCCCCTGCCCTTGGCGTCAGGCCTACCCCATAGCATAGGTCAGGTCTGGGTAGGGATTGGCACGTTTGTGAGCTCACATCCTCCATCTACCTGTCTATTGTCCCCTATCACATCCAGACAGCTTTGGACACAGGGACGGGGGAAAGAGGGTTGGGAGGGAGGGAAGAAAGACAGGCGGAGGCTGCCTTCAAGCCCTGCTTCCCTCTCCTAAGATGGAAAAATGGATCCTCAAAAAAATAAAGTATTTGCAGTCTGGGGGTCTCTCAGCTTCTCATTACAATTACAAGGTGAGGGAAAGGCAGCTGGATTTGGTATTCCCCATCCTGCCCTCACCTCTGTTGCCAGGTACTAAATTTGCTTTTATTGAATTGCTCTCTTAATTTTAGGTTGATTCTTTCAGGGAGCGGATCACAAGTGAGGTGAGTGAAATAGAAAAATTAATATACTGATTAGTAGTTTCCCAAAATGGAGAATATTTGTAGAGAAAGACCTTCCTACAGTTACTAATTCAGCGATATTCCCTCACCCTCACCTTTAGGCAGAAGACTTGGTGGCAAATTTTTTCCCAAAGAAGTTGTTAGAACTTGATAGTTTTTTGAAGGTGAGAGACCCTTTTCTTTCCTCTCTTTCCCCCATCTCCCCTTTTTTTTAGGGGGGGGTTAGGCTCTGGTCTTTCTGTTAAATGCGGGGGAGGGGGTTGGGCTCTGGTCTTTCTGTTAAATGAGACAAAGTATGCGTTGATTCTATTTTGTTTTGTACTGTCAAGCCCTGTCTCATTTCTTGCCCTTTAAGTGAAATACTTCTTTGTTCAGCTTGAAAAGACTAAGGTTTTTTGGTGGGTGGGACTCTCTCTTTCAGGAACCAATCTTAAACATTCATGACCTAACTCAGATACACTCAGACATGAATCTCCCGGTCCCTGACCCCATTCTTCTCACCAATAGCCATGATGGACTGGATGGTGTAAGTGTCATTTTATATTTATCTTTGTGTTTTTAAGCAGTAGGTTCTCTGTTGTCTGCTTCCTGGTGAGTTTGAACATGTACACGGAACAATAGGATTTGGATCTGGGAACCAGGACTCTCAGTCCTATGGGCATGGCAGCTGTAGCACACTCGCTTTAAATCCTGATTTACATCTATAGCATGAGACTGTTCTACTCCTTTTACTATAAGCGTACAGGACAAAATAAGTACAGGTTCTGTCAGGTTACGTGGTCTCTTCTTGCAGCGTTAAGCAAGACTTGTCTTACTTCTCTTTCCATTCTTAATAAGTTCTTCTTGCCATGTAACTCCAGTCCTTGTCTTTGCTGTGCTTCTTTATTCTTTAGAACCTAGTCCTTATCAGTCATATGTTCTAACACTGATCAAACTGTATTGTTTTTTGTCTGCATTACTGTGTCCTTGACAGAGCTTGCATTTCTGGAAGGCAGGAACTGTCATAATTATCTTTGTATCCCCAGCACCTAGCATTGTGCTAAATGTTTGTTGACTGAATATTGTGTTCCTTTGTGGAACCAGCAGATTTGTGCACACACCCTTACTATTAACGTCACCCTGCATTGATTGTTCCTTTTTTGTATTTTTTATAGTATCCTCCTGTCACTTCCCCACCCCACCCCCCAACTGCTTAATATCTTTTATTTCTTGAAAGGTTGGTCTTCCCAACCAGAGTATTAATTATTTTGTGGCAAGAACCTTTTATTAAAGTCTTGTATGTGCTTAGTAAATTGTGTGTAAATTGATAAAACAACCTATGGGGTTGAGGAAGGTATTAAACTTGCTTGAAAGGTATCTGGGGATGTAGATGTAAAGGGCAGGCTAATTCACACCTCTTTTGTATCCTTAGCCCACTTATAAGAAGCGAAGGCTGGATGAGTGTGAAGAGGCCTTCCAAGGTAAGAGCCACCCCCACACCACTGCTGACCTGCATCCCTGAAAAGCAGTGTGAATCTGGTATTCTCCTGGCCAGGAAGCAGGGCTGATTTTATTTCCCAGAGTCAGCATGCCCAAGTCCTCCAAACATGGTCATTATTTAGCCCTAAGCCTAATTTTTTAGTAAAGAGAGGCAAGGTTTGACTTGTGGACTGCCAAGTGAGAGATGTTGTAGGTAGAGTCTACATATCCAGATTTTTATGGAAGTTCCACTTCCATGTTATTTTTCTTCCTTCAGTAAAATCGATACTTTAAGTCTTCAGTGAATATATTTATTTTAATTTTCTTATTGAGGCTTTTGGCATGCTTTAGATACTCATTTGTTAATAAGTACACTCTTTGATTCTGATAGTGGTACCATGGTTTGAAGGTAGGGTTTTGATAAAAGGCAGAGGTCATAGCATCTCATGGGTGTGGGGAAGGAGAGAGAAGAGTGGAGAATACTGTGTCCTCCTCCTCACCCTAGTCATTTGACCTTCATGTCCCTGCCAGGAACCAAGGTGTTTGTGATGCCCAATGGGATGCTGAAAAGCAACCAGCAGCTGGTGGACATTATTGAGAAAGTAAAACCTGAGATCCGGCTGCTGATCGAGAAATGCAACACGGTGAGGCAGAGGCTAGTGACCTGTGGACTGGCCCCGAATAGCCCCTCTTGAACGATGAAAAATGATGGCTAGGGGGCTGGAGGCATGGAGATGGTCTTGGGGTTGGCAGGCTAGGTGTCTTGCTTGGCTCCTGTGTTTCTGGCATCTGGCTCTAGCAGCCTGAATCATATACTTCAGGGATTCAGCAGAAAAAGCAAAGGTTCTCATATATGTGTTCCGGTCCTCCCACCTTCTAGGTCAAAATGTGGGTACAGCTCCTGATTCCCAGGATAGAAGATGGGAACAACTTTGGGGTATCCATTCAGGTAACGTGCTTGCCTGGTTGTAAACTGGGAGGAAAGGTTTGGGAGATACTCCCCTCTCCCTGCTTTATCTGTGGCTCCTGCAGGGTGATGTGGAAGTGGCTTTCAACTCACCTGTTTTTTGTTTTTGTTTTTTCAGGAAGAGACAGTTGCAGAACTAAGGACTGTTGAGAGTGAAGCTGCCTCTTATCTGGACCAGATTTCTAGGTAGGTCTGCTTGGGCTTGGTCTGGGAACTGGGGCCTGTGAGGTGGTGGGCACTGTCCAGGGTCTCCTGCAGCTTCCTCTTCTTCTCTCTCTTTCCAGGTATTATATTACAAGAGCCAAATTGGTTTCTAAAATAGCTAAATATCCCCATGTGGTAAGTAAAGATTTTGTGGCCTGAGAATGGAAGTGATAGGAGAGGGATGACTGACTGGGAAAGAGCTGTCTCTGACCATTAAGGCCTTGGGAAATAGCCTTGTCCTCTGCCCCTGCTTTTAGGAGGACTATCGCCGCACCGTGACAGAGATTGATGAGAAAGAATATATCAGTCTTCGGCTCATCATATCAGAGCTAAGGAATCAATATGTAAGTAACCCAGGTCCCTGCCCACAGTTGTCCTGGCTTCTCTTAGTTCTGTTGATAATTTTCTTGCCATTCTCTGGAGGTTGACCTGGGAGGGAGGTAAAAATGAGTAGAATCTATTAACTTAGTGCTGAGAATCATGAAATCATTGAGGGTGTTTAGCTGGGTATCTCCCTTTTTTATGCCTGGGTGTAGGGGTAAGGGAGGATATAGTATAGTGGCTAACAGATAACTGTTAGAGTCAGACAGTCCACCCATAATGTGTGACTTTGATCAAGTTGTTTAACATCTCAGACTTCATTTTCTTCCTCTCTATAATGGGACTTTATCTCCCTTACAAAGATGGTTTTAAAAAATAAGTGGATGACACATTAAAGGACCTAGCACAATTCTTGGTACATATTAAGTGCTCAGTAAATGTTAGTTGTTACCAGACACTTGGAGTCTTGGAAATTAGTTGAAGGCCCTGTAACCAATTTTAGAGGCTAGGAAAGGTGGGGCAGCTACCCTGAATGCAGTTTCAATGAATGAGATTGGGATTATGCCTATGGGGGGATTTGTGAATGATTGGGAATTTGTTGGGGGTTTTCTCTTTTTCTTTGTGAGGTGAGGGTGGAACAGATGTCTGATTCCCTGATCCTGCTTCTCCTAGGTCACTCTACATGACATGATACTGAAAAATATCGAAAAGATCAAACGGCCCCGGAGCAGCAATGCAGAGACACTGTACTGAGGCCGGGGCCAGGGCCAGGGGACTCTGTGAGTCTGGCTCAAGACCGACATTGCCTTGGTTTGTTACATGACTATCGTGATGGGGAAACTGGCTGGAAATCGTAATCACACCGCTCTCTGTTTTTAGTTAGAGTCTAATGAAACACTCATGTAGTTCTGTGACGTGTTTACCTCTTTTTTCAGGCCTCAGGAACTCTTCTATTTCCTTCCCTAGTACCCGCACCCAACCTGTCCTAATTTCTGGAGAACTCCAGGTTTGTGTGTGCTGGATGTTGGCACAAGCATACTTGTGCTTTCTGTCTCCCTCTTGTGTCGTGGGCTTTGTGTTTTCTTCATTCTGATGCTTAGTTGGTTAGAAGCTGAGAGAACTGGAAGGAAAGTGCTAGGTGTGTTTTTAGGATCTGTGTTGGGGGGACCAACTCATCTCTTCCTGACATAGGTTAGTGTTTCTTGCCTTTGTGGGACATTGGATCCTCCTGGCCTCAGGTGATGACTTAGGGTTTCCCGTCTACATACATCCCATCTTGAGCCTGATCACAAGAAACACCTTAGACCTTCAGCCAAGACCCTAGCTGCTTTCGATGTTTTTATAACGAGGTTTTCACATACACGTGTGCATGTACACACACACACAGATGTGCACGCACATGCCCTCCTCTACACCATTAGCTAACCCCCCCGACCCAACCCTGTCACACCTGCGCCTTTCAAAAGGAGGTGATAGTTTTCGAGGCTATCATCCACCCAGACAAAAGTCCCAGACCCATCTTTTCTCCTGATATTGTAGCGTCTTGGTGCCCAGGGTGAGTTGGAGGAGAACTGAGAGATGAGAAGCAGAGAGATTGGGGAAGGCACCCTTCCTCTGTGACTCAGGTTCTTCTTGGTGTTATTGCAAAGGCTGGCCTCTGACTTCCCGGTGCCTCTTCCCAAGCCAGTTGTAAATTGAGGCGGGGGTGGGGTCTGCAACTGTGAGGTCCCGATGCTGCTGCTCCTGCTGGATATTCCCTTTGGGAAATATTTCGCTTATTTATAGTATTGTGCTTCCAGGGAAAGCAGTCGTGTGTGTGTGTGTGTGTGTGTGTGTGTGTGTGTGTGTGTGTATGTATGTGTGTGTATGTGTGTACGTACGTGTGTACGTACGTGGACACACATGCATGCACACATTTGGGTGTATGTGAGTAGCTACTGGGTAAGTCAAACCATAGAAGAGTTGCCTCCTATCTCTGGAACTCCCGCAGAGATATTTATTGTTACAGGTTTTGTGTCACCCCACATCAGCCCCCAGCTTTGTTATTCTACTACTCTTGGAGAGTTGATATCACAGTCAGCCTGCCCGTGACTCTCTCTCAGTGTCTGTTCCCTACTTTTATTCTTCCTTGTCTTTGTCTTCCAACCCCCAATCGTATTTCTACCTGGGATGCATCATTTTTACTTGCAATATGCCATAGAGAAGGAGTCAGGACATTGTGTTCCCGTGAATAGTACTCAGTAACAAACCATTGCATTTTAGTTGGGCAGTGCCCCTACCTACGCACCCTCCAGATCCCTTCTAGCTAAAGCCCTTCCCTTCTCCCACCATGTGTTTCTCAGTTTCCCTTTTTGTTTGTTGGATTGTTTGGCCGCCCTTCCTCTGCACCCTACCACTCTTGGATTGTAATGTAAAATTCTTTTACCATGTCAAGAAATTATTAAAATACAGGTACTTTGACTTCTTTTTAAAGTCACAGACCCTCGTGCGATGCTGGTGGCTAGGGACGTACCCATACTCATGTGCGTGCATACCCGGACACCCACCCTCACATACACCCTCAGCCACTCTTTTTGAGTGTCCTTATGCCTGTTCAGCTGCCTCTTTTCTCTGGAATAATGGAAAGACTGAGACTTTTGGCTACTAAGAGGCAAGGGTGGGCCCTTCCTTTATGTTCAGTCTGAATTAAATTATGTGAAAGTTCTTCCCAAACCTGAGCTGCCTTCTGTTCCCACCCTCATAAAGTCCCATCTCCTTTATTCCTCAGTGATATCCATGAACTGCCAGTAGAGGCTGCTCTAGTCCCATATGTGTAAAGTGACCTGGTTCAAGGCACTTCCTAGGACGCAGTCTCACTTGACCATATACCAATTCTTCCATCAGTGGATAATGTCTTCAGTTTCTTGAGGAGATGCCAGGGACTCCTGGTTCTGATTTTCAAGTTACTTTAAGGGCTGCCTAGAGCCCTAGCTCCCTCTGAAATAAAGTTTTCTCAACTTCCACCTTGCAGGTAGCCTGGTTTCCAATGAGAACCTCATTGTCACAGCAAAAAGAGTTTTAAGGTCATGAACAATGGGGGAACATCTATTTCATTTCAGAGAGCAGTACCAATAGCTAACATTTAACACCTACCCTGTGTCAGACTCTGCTAAGCACTTTGTGTGCATAGTCACATTTAATCTTGATAATTCTGTAGGGTAGTTTTTATTACCCTTTATCTGTAGGTGAGGACACTGAGCACTCAGAATAGGTAACTCTCCCAGGATCATTGAGCTTAGGGAGCTGGGACTGATGTCCAGGTCTGACTGCTTAACCCAGGCCCTCAACCATTCATTCATCTTTTCTCACTGACAAGATAGAAAAAGGCTGAAACTTCAGAACAAGGGCTTGGTATTAGGCAACAGGCAGAATTCAGTGCTTATTGGTGACCTGGGCAGTGGGTCCTGGAAATACTGGAATGTAGTACCTGCCAGGAAGCAGGAAAGTGGACATTCATAGTACCAGCACTTGGCACACAGGACTTGATGGGCGTCTGAGATTTGCATTCTTCCTCAGGCCCATTCTGGGTGGAAGATGTTTAGCATTAATCTAAATACCTTCTAACCTGGTCCGAATGAATGGAAATCAGTAGTTGGTACTGACTGTGGTACTGTTAGGATTTCAGGGCACAGAGGAAGGCTATACACGTGGGAGTAGGTCTTTCAGCCAAACCACAGGACACAAAAGTGGAACAGAATTATACAAATCAAGGTCAGAAATTTCCTGTCCAGCCCACGGGATGGAGTCTTCTCCATTCCTGTCCATCGCAGTGAATATAAACCCTGATTGAATGTCAGTGACTGGAAGGAGCATCTAGTAGGATGCTGATTTTAGCTCTCAGCATCCACAATGAATCTCAAGGTAGTCTTCGCATCCCTGGCACTGTTCCTCATTACCATCTTCACCCTGGCCCATGTTCTGCTGACCAGCCAAGGTGGCTCCAGCCAGCCTCTCCGCTGCCCCTCCATAACACCTAGTGCCCAGCCGTGGACACAGGCTGGCCGGAGCCAGCTGTTTGCAGACCTGAGCCAAGAGGAACTGACTACTGTGATGAGCTTTTTGACTCAGTACCTGGGGCCTGGGCTGGTGGATGCAGCTCAAGCCCAGCCTTCGGACAACTGTGTCTTCTCAGTGGAATTGCAGCTGCCCTCCAAGGCGGCAGCCCTGGCCCACCTGGACGGGGGGAGCCCCCCACCTGCCCGGGAGGCCCTGGCCATCATCTTCTTTGGTGGACAAGCTCAGCCCAACGTGAGTGAGCTGGTGGTGGGACCACTGCCTCGCCCATCCTATGTGCGGGATGTGACCAAGGAGCACCATGGGGGCCCCTTGCCCTATCACCGACGCCCCCTGCTGGCAACTGAATATGCCCAGATGTGGAGGCATTTGAAAGAGGTGGAGTTTCGCAAGGCACCCATCTTCCTGGCTTCTGTCTTCAACTACAATGGCTCCACTTTGACATCCTTGCATGCCACCCCCGTGGCTTGTGCTCAGGGGACCATGTTACCTGGATAGGCCTCTACCATAACATCTCAGGTGTTGGTGTTTTCCTTCACCCAGTGGGGCTGAAACTGCTGCTTTACCACAGGGCCCTGGACCCTTCCCAGTGGGCTGTCCAGCAGGTCTTCTACCTTGGACAGTACTATGCAGACTTGGGCCAGCTGGAATGGGAGTTGAAGGCTGGCTGACTGGAAGTGGTTAGAGTTCCTCTGCCTTTGCCAAATGGTGCTTCATCCCTGAGGTCCCGGGTCTCCCCAGGTCCTCTTCCCCAACTTCATTTCTCGCCCCTGGGCTCCCAATACAGTGTTCAAGGGAACCTGGTGGTATCCTTCCTCTGGTCATTTACCTTTGGCCATGGGGTGTACAGTGGCATGAGGATTTTTGATACGGGTTCAAGGGTGAGCGAGTGGCCTATGAAGTCAGTGTTCAAGAGTGTCTGTCTGTCTGTTCATGGTGGTGAGTCACCCAAGACAATGATGACCTGATACTTGGATAGCAGCTGTGGACTTGGCTGTAATAGCCAGGGCCTGGTGCGGGGAGTGGACTGCCCCTATCAAGCCACGATGGTGGACATCCACATATTGGTAGGCAAAGGGACGATCCAGCTGCTCCCGGGGGCTGTGTGTGTATTTGAGGAGGCCAAGGGACTAGCCCTTCGAAGACACCACAATCTGATTGAGTCATTTCTATGGCGGTTTGGCCAGCTCAGCCCTTGTGGTCAGGTCTGTATCATCTGTAGGCAACTATGACTACATTTGGGACTTCGTGTTGCACCCAAATGGGGCAATTGAAGGGCGAGTCCATGCCACGGGCTGTATCAATACAGCTTTCCTGAGTAGGGGAGAGGAGAGTCACCTCTTTGGGAACCGTGTGGGAGAACAAGTGCTGGGGACGGTGCACACGCATGCCTTCCACTTCAAGCTGGACCTGGATGTGGCAGGTGAGCGCTGAGGGGATGAGGGTTGAAAGCTAGGGTTGGGGGTAGGTGGAGGGGAGTCCCCTGAATTAAGCCAGAGGTTTCTGGAAGAGATGAGAAGGTGCAGTTCCAGCATCACAATGTATTTGTGGCAGTGGGTAGCAGGGACTGATCGGAGTGTTTTAAACTGCAGTCTGAAATACTGGGCATCTGGCAAAAGGTAGGAAAGGTTCTTCTGCCCAGCTTCTCTGACCTGCTGTGATGATTGTGAAACGAGTCTAAATGTAACAGCTACCTTAGCTCTTAAATGTATGCTCTGGGCCTGAGTGACACTGTGGGTGGGTGAAGTGGCCCTGTCCCGTGGTACGAGAGAAGTTGTAGACATTGGATGGGGCTGGAATAGGGGCTTTCAGGGTTCTTCTGACCAATTCTGAGGGTTTACAGGTATAGGGTGGTGAAGGCAGGGGCCTCAGCAGAGGTAAGCAGAGCCTGTCTTAAGAGGTTTTCGGGGAAGGGGTGATTCTGGGGCCTGAGACTGGGGGAGGGGGCGGCTCCAGAGCAGACAACTGGGAACACGGGATAGTGGCCCCATCCTCCCCACAGGGAGGGCCATCCTGTTCCTCTCAGACCATGTCATCACAATGGGCTCTGGTGACACGCAAGCATGCCATTAACTTGGTACAAGATAGAAGGGATTTCTCAAGTAGGGCTTGGAGCACAAAGAGGGCTTGCTGCTCTTGACAGATTTCTGTGGAGGGCAGAAAATAACCAGCTTATCAAATCATAGAAGTTTAGACCCAGAAGGAAACTTAGAAATCTACCAGACCCTCTCCATTTTATAGTTGGGGGAAACAAAGGTGGTCGGAGGCCATGATGGGGCAGGAAAATACTGTCCAAGTATAATGCAACATGACAAAGCATATTTCTTGTGAAACATTTACTTATCCTCTTGTGTATAAAGGCATGGTGCGGGAGGTGGGGGATAAGAGCTAAAATAAAAATGTTATTGAAATTTTATTAACTAGATTATTCTTTGACATTTGGGGTATGACTTTTTTATTATATTTTTCTTTTGGGATATGACTTTTCTGATGTGAAATTTCTCTTCAGTATTTTTGGCAGTAAAGAGCGTTGTCTTGGGAAGTAAAATGAAGTACCTTTACTGGGGTCCTAGTGTGCGCAGCACAGGCTGGTGCTGTGGGACCAAAGAGGCTGTATGGACACGTGCTGCTCGCAGAAGAAGGGACTAGCTTTAATAGAGTGCTTCGTATGGGTCACAAAGAAACTAACAGCCCATTGAAGACCAGCAGAAAGACAGAAAAATAGCATGTGATCAAGGGCTGAGTAGGGTAGTACAGGTTACGAATGCAATAGAATTTCAGGGAGCTCCCAGACAGTTTAAAAATATAAATCTGCCTGCTTCCAAAAAAGAGTGGACGTGGTCCAGCCTTGTTGAGAAAGAAAGCTAAGTCTCAGAGCTGGGGAGAAGTGTGCAGGGGACCATGGGAGGAGATTGGGTTTTCTTCCAGCCAGCTTTTTGGAAACAGGAACCCTGATGGCACAGTGGTTAAGAGCTTGGCTGCTACCCGAAAGGTCAGCAGTTCAAATCCACCAGCTGCTCCTTGGAAACCCTATGGGGCAGTTCTATGCTTTGTCCTATAGGGTTGCTATGAGTTGGAATTGATTCAACAACAATGGGTTTGGTTTTTGGTTTCTCGGAGACAAATATCATTATTTCTTACATAGTTATAAGAATGTTAATAGTCACCTGCGTGTGTTTTCCGATTTATAGAGCACAGCTGCATTTGTAACTTGTTGGACCTTCACAATATCTCTGTGAAGTAGTAGAACAGCCTTTATTATGCCCAGTGTAGAGATACAGAGAATGAGGCTTAGAGAACCAAAGAATTGGTCCAAGGTCTATTGGGTAGACCACTGCTAGTAGAATTTTTTGCAGTGTTCTCCATCTGTGCTGTCCCATATGTTAGCTGTTCTCCACATATGGCTATTGAGCACTGGAAATGTGGCTAGTGTGACTTGAGTAACCGAATTTTTAAACTTTATTTAATTTAGGCTTTTTTTATTTTTTCCCATATAAAAATTTATACATACATTGTTATGTGACTCCAGTTGCTCTCCCCATACTGTGACAGCACACTCCTCCTTTCCACCCCTGATTCCCAATGTCCATTCAGCCAACTCCTAACCCTCTTTGCCTTCCCATGTCACCTCCGGACAGAAGCTGCCTGTTTAGTCTCTTGTATCTACTTGAGCTAAGAGGCACACTCCTCACGAGTATCACTTTATGTCCCACAGTCTCGTCCAATCCCTGTCTGAAGCGTTGGCCTAGAAATTGTTTTAGTTCTGGGCTGATAGAGAATCCAGGGGCCATGCTTTCCGAGGTTCTTCCAGTCTCAGTCAGGCTATTAAGTCTGGTCTTCTTACTAGAATTTGAGTTCTGCACCCACCTTTCTCCTGCTCCATCCGGGACTCTCTGTTGTGCTCCCTGTCAGGGCGGTCATTGGTGGTAGCCAGACATCATCTAGTTCTTCTGGTCTCGGGCTGATGAAGTCTCTGGTTTATGTGGCCCTTTCTGTCTCTTGGGCTACTACTTTCCTTGTGTCTTTGGTGTTCTTCATTCTCCTTTACTTCAGGTGGTTGGGACCAATTGATGCATCTTAGATGGCCACTTGCAAGCTTTTAAGACCCCAGATGCCACTCACCAGTAGGATGTAGAACATTTTCTTAAATAAGCTTTGTTATGCCAATTGACCTAGATGTCCCCTGAAAGCATGGTCCCCAGACCCCTACCCCAGCTACTCTGTCCCTCAAAGTGTTTGATTGTATTCAGGAAACTTCTTAGCTTTGGTTTAGTCCAGTTGTGCTGACTTCCCCTGTAGTGTGTGCTGTCCTTCCCTTCACCCAAGATAATTCTTATCTACTATCTAGTTAGTAAATAACCCTCCCCCTCCCTCCCCACCCTCGTAACCATCAAAGAATGTTTTCTTCTGTGTTTAAACCTTTTCTTGAGTTCTTACAATAGTGGTCTTATACAATATTTGTGTAAGTGACTAAGCCTTCTGTGACTGACTAAATTCACTGAGCATAATGACCTCCAGCTTCCTCCATGTTATAAGATGTTTCACGGCTTCATCATTGTTCTTTATCGTTGCGTAGTATTCCACTGTGTGGATATACCATAATTTGTTTATCCATTCATCTGTTGATGGGCACCTAGGTTGTTTCCATCTTCTTGCTATTGTGAACAGTGCTGCAGTGAACATGGGTGTGCATATATCTATTCGTGTGACAGCTCTTATTTCTCTAGGATATATTCCAAGGAGCAGGATAGCTGGATCATATGGAACTTCTATTTCTAGCTTTTTAAGGAAGCGCCAAATCAATTTCCAAAATGGTTGTACCATTTTACATTCCCACCAACAGTGTATAAGTGTTCCAGTCTCTCCACAACCTCTCCAGCATTTATTGTTTTGTGTTTTTTGGATTAATGCTAGCCTTGTTGGGTGAGATGATATCTCATTGTAGTTTTGATCTGCATTTCTCTAATGGCTAGTGATCGTGAACATTTCTTCATGTGTCTGTTAGCTGCCTGAATATCTTCTTTGGCAAAGTGCCTGTTCATATCCTTTGCCCATTTTTTGATTGGGTTATTTGTCTTTTTGTTGTTGAGGTTTTGCAGTATCTTGTAGATTTTAGAGATTAGACGCTGATCGGATTTGTCGTAGCCAAAAATTTTTTCCCTAAACTTTATTTAAATAGCCACATGTGATTAGTGGTTACCATATTGGACAAGGCACGTTAGAAGAAGATGGACTAGTACTCAAATCCGGACCTCTGGCTCCTAGCACAGGCACTTTCTGATGCACTCTGCTGCCTTTTGAGGCCAATGCAGTGGGCATTGTGGGGAAGATGAAAGGCCATCCGGGTGACCTCACCTGGTGTGGAATTTCTTTCCCTCCTCTCACCTGGCAGGGCTGAAAAACTGGGTGGTGGCTGAAGACGTGGTGTTTAAACCCGTGGCAGCCCCCTGGAGCCTGGAGCACCAGCTGTACCGCCCACAGCTGACTCGGCAGGTCCTGGAAAGGGAAGACCTGACAGCATTCTCCTTGGGAATCCTCCTTCCCTGTTACCTTTACCTGGCTAGCAACCAGACTAATGCCTGGGGTCACCAGCATGGGTACCGCATCCAGATCCACAGCCCCCTCGGCATACACATGCCCCTGGAGAGTGACACGGAGAAGGCCCTCAGCTGGGAGAGGTGAGGAGGGCCCTGGGCAGTGGGTGGTAGGGAAGGGCTGGCCCCCTCTCCCATCCTAGCTCTTGGAGACCCCAACTCACTATCCATGCTTAGCATCCGTCCCCTCAGATCCAGGTAGATACATGATGGGAAATGGTGTCACGCAGAATCTGATCCAAAGGACTCCTGGGCTGCTAAAGGCCCTTGTCATTTCCTGACACCACCTCCCTCGACAACTCCTGGTCAGATACCAACTCGCGGTGACCCGGAGGAAGGAAGAAGAGTTGCAGAGCAGCAGCATCTATTACCAGAATGACATCTGGACACCCACTATGGCCTTTGCTGACTTCATCAACAATGAAACCCTCTTAGGAGAGGTTGGTAGCCCTAGGAGCAGAGGAGAGGGACTCCTCTGTGCCTGGTATCTTGGCTGCCCAGCTTCTGACTAGAGGCTGGAGAGAAAAATAGGTCTCCAGTTCTCAAATTCAGGGGCCAAGAACTCTGATGATCAACACTGGTCATCCCTCCTGGGGTGAAATTGGCCATGGGACATTTTGTACCCTACAGCTTCTCACACAGGTCACCACGGCATGTTGTATAGGCCTAGGCTGGCAGGCTATAGTGCCTGGTCAGAGGTGGATTCAGGACAGGCTGGCAGTTTGGGGATCGTAGATGGGGTGGAGGGTGGTTCTTTGGGTCTTGCCTTCAAAGCCCTCCTAGCTCCTCCTCCTTCCTGCAGGACCTGGTGGCTTGGGTTACAGCCAGCTTCCTGCACATCCCCCACGCTGAGGATGTCCCCAACACAGTGACTGTGGGGAACAGTGTTGGCTTCTTGCTCTGACCCTATAACTTCTTTGATGGAGACCCCCTCCATCTTCTCCCCTGGCAGCATCTACTTTGAGAAGGGCCAGGATGCTGGGCCCTGCAGTGTCAACCCTGTGGCCTGCATCCCCCAACTGGCAGCCTGTGCCCCAGACCTGCCCCCTTTTTCTTTTCAAGACTTCTAGCTCTGAGGGTGTGGTGGGACATGGGGGGCTGAGGCATAAGTACCTTCCTCTGTTTCCACTCACCATTCCCTACATCCTTATCAATCCTGCTCCACTGATAACCCATTCTCTTAGTATTGCTTAGGAAACAGCCTCTTCCCAGATATCTCCATATATCACTTTGGCTCACTCTCATTTCCTGTTCATTTTTAAAAATTGATGAATTTATAAAAATGATGTTAAAATATTCAAGCAAAAATAGCACACAGCCTACCACTCAGAAATACTTAATGTTCACTTTTGGCGAGCATTATACTAGACATTTCTTTGTGCATCTATATTCAAATGGAAGAATAGATAAAATTTTGTAAAATAGATGATATGGTATGTGCAATTTTAAATAAAAAGTATTACAAGGATTTTATTTGAATTTATTCTGTTTGACTTTTAAAATATCTAGAGTCCCCCAGAGAATGTTTAGGACTCTTGCCAAGGAAATTAGACGAGGAGGAGAGGCGAGAAGGAAAAGGGAGACAGACCTGGCTGAGGAATGTCACTTGGGAAGCTGAAGGGGCTGGAAGCACCGGGTTTCCTTGGAAGAAGAACAGTAGTTCACAGTTACAGGAAGGGGAACATCTGGCCCTGGGAAGGTGGGGGTTGGGGGAAGAAGCTGGGCTAAGAGAGGTGATACGGAGGGCTGCTGTATGCAGCCCCAGCTCCTTGCTAGTGTTGCATTCCATGATCAGGCCAGCCAGCTGCATTATCTTGAACATTTACTCACTCATTTCCTCTCTCTCCCCTCTTCCCCCAAGGCCAGCTCTGTCCTTTAACTCCCAACTCCAACTCTGACCCAGAGAGCGAGTCTGATTTGGAGCCTGGAGAACAAAGCCATGTAAGGTCTGTTGAAATCGCGGCTGCCTGGCTTCAGACCCGCCCCTAGCCCTGGCCCGTCCCCCTTCCCCCAGCCTTTCTTGTGCACTTTCGAGCCTCCCATCTCCTATGCGCCTAACTCCCAGGAGCCCCAGCCAGCGTCCAGGAGCCTACCAGCATAGGAGTCAAGAGAGATCCTCTCCTGCGGGCCTAAGAACACACATCTCCACCCTGGTTCCATCTTCTGGTTCACGAGACGATGAACCAGAAGGCCACCCTGGTGCTCCTCGCTCTGGCTGTCATCACCATCTTTGCCTTGGTTTGTGTCCTGTTAACTGGCAGGAGTGGAGATGGGGGTGAACCCAATCGGCCTCCCCAATGCCACTCTGAATCCCCCAGTGCCCAGCCGTGGACACAGGCTGGCCAGAGCCAGCTGTTTGCAGACCTGAGCCAAGAGGAACTGACTGCTGCGATGAGGTTTCTGACTCAGCACCTGGGGCCTGGGCTGGTGGATGCAGCTCAGGCCCAGCCCTCGGACAACTGTGTCTTCTCAGTGGAGTTGCAGCTGCCCCCCAAGGCGGCAGCCCTGGCCCACCTGGACAGGGGGAGCCCCCCACCTGCCCGGGAGGCCCTGGCCATTGTCTTCTTTGGTGGACAAGCTCAGCCCAACGTGAGTGAGCTGGTGGTGGGACCACTGCCTCGCCCATCCTATGTGCGAGATGTGACTGTGGAACGCCATGGAGGCCCGCTGCCCTACCACCGACGGCCTGTGCTGGCCCGAGAGTACCTGGACATAGACCACATGATCTTCAACAGAGAGCTGCCCCAGGCTGCTGGGCTTCTCCACCACTGTTGCTTCTATAAACACCAAGAAAAGAAACTGGGGACAGTGACCACAGCTCCCCGTGGTCTACAATCAGGGGACCGAGCCACCTGGTTTGGCCTCTACTACAACATCTCAGGGGCTGGGATTTTCCTGCACCCCGTGGGCTTGGAGCTGCTGGTAGACCACAAGGCTCTGGACCCTGCCCACTGGACCATCCAGAAGGTGTTCTACCAAGGCCGCTACTATCACAGTCTGGCCGAGCTGGAGGACCAGTTTGAGGCTGGCCTGGTGAATGTCGTGCTGATCCCCAACAATGGCACAGGTGGGTCCTGGTCCCTCAAGTCCCTGGTGACCCCGGGTCCAGCTCCCCCTTTGCAGTTCTACCCACAGGGTCCCCGCTTTAGTGTCCAGGGGAGTCAAGTGGCCTCCTCATTGTGGACTTTCTCCTTTGGCCTCGGAGCTTTCACTGGCCCAAGGATCTTTGACATCCGCTTCCAGGGAGAACGGCTAGCTTACGAGATCAGCCTCCAAGAGGTCTTGACTATTTACGGTGGAAACTCCCCAGCAGCAATGCTGACCCGCTATATTGATGGCAGTTTTGGCATGGGCAAGTACGCCACGCCCCTGACCCGTGGGGTAGACTGCCCCTACCTGGCCACCTATATGGACTGGCACTTCCTTTTGGAGTCCCAGGCCCCTAAGACGCTACATGATGCCTTTTGTGTATTTGAGCAGAACCAGGGCCTCCCCCTGCGGCGACACCACTCAGATTTCTACTCTCACTACTTTGGGGGCCTCGCGGAGACAGTGCTGATTTTCAGGTCTGTGTCCACCTTGCTCAACTACGACTATGTATGGGATATGGTCTTCCAACCCAATGGGGCCATCGAAGTCAAGTTGCATGCCACGGGCTACATCAGCTCAGTATTCCTCTTCGGTGCAGCCCAGAAGTATGGGAACAAAGTTGGGGAGCACACGCTGGGCACCGTCCACACTCACAGTGCCCATTTCAAGGTGGATCTGGACATAGCAGGTAAGACAGCCTGTCAGACAAGGGTGCCAGAGAAGAGGGTGAAGAGTTGTCTCTGTTAGCTTTGGGTTTTACATAGCTATCCAGGATAGGAAGATTTGAGCATGAGTATGAGGTTTTGGATTTTCATGCTTCCCCTTTTGCTGGATGAGAGAAGGTTGGCTGTTAAAGTTTTATTTGGATCTTGGTTCACTGGCTGGGTGCCCAGCTTCCAGCCTCCTTCCACGTGACCTCATTAGAAAGTCTTGGGAAATAGCAAAGCTCAGGGAGGAGGCAGGATCTGGGCAAACAGGGTCCCCTTTGCTGTCCTCTCTCCCTTGCACTTACATGGGCTTCACCTCAAGGAAGTAGCTATTTGTTTTTCAGTGTTCTGGCCTGTTCTGTGTGTCTGGCCTGTGGGACTGCTGGTCTTTTCATTCTGAGTCCCTGGGTGGTGCAAACAAGTAACATGTTTGGCTGCTAACTGAAAGGTTGGTGATTTGAGGCCACACAGAGGCACCTTGGAAGAAAGGCTGGCACTCTACCTCTGAAAAATCAGCCATATGGAGCACAATTCTTCTCCGCAACCCATGGGGTCACCATGAGTCAGAGACGACTCGATGGCAACTGGTTGCTTGTTGGTGATTTGCATTCTGCCAAGTCCCTGGCAGGCCAGTCATGGGACAGCCCCAGGCTGCACATTTCTAGAAGATGGACCCTCCTCCTCCTTGACCACCCATCTCCCTCTGGGCATAGCACACTTAGGTTTGAGGGACAGGAGGGATACTGGGGAGCATTAGGGATAGTTCCTGGGGCTGGTGGTCACAGAACATCGAGGCTGTGTGACGTCTTAGAGTTGTCTTTGTCTATCACTTTCCCTCCCTCCCTACACTGAGTTGTTCACCAGATTTTTCTCCTATTCTACCTCTGAAATCTCTCTAAACCCTCCCTGGGCCCCACTGCCATCCCTGCTGGCACCAGCCCTCTCTGCTGTGCCACCTCTTCTCTTCCTCTCAGACCCAGGGCCCACTCTGTGCCAAGAGGAACCTCCCAGTTTAGGACTGGCTGCGACCTTATACTGCCCCTACCTGCCCCATCACCCCCAGGATCCCGTTCACAGAATGGCTGACAAGGCCCTTTCCTTCACAGTTCAGCTCAACCTGCCCTGCAGATTATTCCCCACACCCTGCTTTAGCCATACCCCAAAACCCCCTGTCCCTGGATACCCCATAAGTGTAGGCAAGCTGCTTTGTATTTGCTCATACCTCATCCTGTCTAGAATTTGTCCTTCCATGTTGTCTGTGCTGGTGACATCCATTAAGGCCAGGCTTGAAAGTTGCCTGTGAAGACCCCCTTTCCTGCCTACCCCGTATTCCTGCAACCTTGAAGCGGCCTGTTAGTAGTTTACTGTCTGCGTCCCCTGTGGGAGCGGGAGGGTAAGGATAAGATTTTATTCACCTCTGTGTCCCCAGGGCTGAGTCTGGCCCTGTCCACTAATGTTTGCTGAAAGGATGAATAAATGAAATGGAATCCCTAAAGAAATATTTGCATGTACCTGTCCACAGCTTTGACTGAAGTGTTGGGGATATCTTGGGGAAAGGGATAGGAAATAGGGAGCTCACTCAGTTCTGTGTTCTCTTCAACCCCCACTCTGAAGCTAAGTGGAGGCAGAGTCCAGAGGGGGCAGCATGGCTGCATGACCAGCCCTTACCTACCCCTCAACCCTCCCCCCACACCCTGTCACCACTGCAGGACTGAAGAACTGGGTCTGGGCTGAGGACATGGCCTTTGTCCCCACTGCGGTACCCTGGAGCCCCCAGCACCAGTTGCAGAGGATGCAGGTGACCCGGAAGCTGCTGGAGACAGAGGAGCAGGCAACTTTCCCTCTGGGAGGGGTGGCCCCTCGCTACCTGTACCTGGCCAGCAACCACAGCAACAAGTGGGGTCACCCACGGGGCTACCGCATCCAAGTGCTCAGCTTTGCTGGGGAGCCACTGCCCCAGAACAGCTCCATGGAGAGAGGCTTTGGCTGGGGGAGGTAAGCGGGGTGGGTGTCAGAGAGGGGCTGGGGGGGTGAGTTTGGGAAAGGAGCCTGGAGCGGGGCAACTTGGAATTCAATTAAAATTGTATACTGGGGTAAGAGCTCAGGAAGGATTTCCTAGTTATCAAAAGGCACCTCAAAGGGCACATTTTCCCCCTCAAGGGCTGAAGCCCAGAAGTGAGAACTCTTTTCTCATTTGGATGGTAGAGGGGCCATTCTGTGTGAAGGCAGGAAAGGAACAGGCAGACCTTGGGAAGGTGTTGGCAGACCCCCCAGGGTAATGTCAGCAATTCTGCAGCCTTCTGTCACTGTGTGAATAAGATAGGGAGACTGAGGTCCACTCGTTCTGCTCCCTTTCATCATAATCAGGCAGCCAGATGGGGTTAGTGACCATAGAGGCCTGACCAATGCCTCCCTAGGTACCAGCTGGCTGTGACCCAGCGGAAAGAGAAGGAGCCCAGTAGCACCAGCATTTACAATCAGAACGACCCTTGGACCCCAACTGTGGACTTCACGGACTTCATCAACAATGAGACCATTGCTGGAGAGGTCAGCTGACCTATGGGGAGGGGAGCAGAAGGAGGGAGGCAGAGCACAAGGATGAGCCCCACCTTCTCTTGGACGTCCCTGCCAGCCATCTGAGAGCTGCTCAGGCTGGATCTGACTATAATCTCTTGAGGGAACCTTCCCAAGTTGGGAGTTTGTATGCAGACACTGAGTGAATATCCAGGCCTGTCCTCCAGACCCTAGAACCCTCTAGGTCCCAGCTTCGTGGAAAGTGACTGACTGGAGATTGACAATATTTTCTGGCCCCAGAATTCATGAAGGGCTGGGAGCCAGCAGGAAAGATCACATCTCTTGTATTTGAAGCTTCTCCCATTCCTGGCTGGACCACTGCAGGGTACTTTTCTGAATGTCATCCTCTTCTTGCCTCCCAGCCCCTGGTCTTCCCTCCTCCGTCCTCCTACCCTCAGTTAGTTTGGGAAATCCAGGAGAGTTAAGAGGAGAGGAGCTGAGGTGGCCTTTGTGCCATCCTTCCTGTGAAATGTCAGAGAGGGAGGGTACAGGCCAGGGGCAGGGAGGCAGGTATTGGTCCCATTATGAAATTAACTAGTTATGCTTCAACTTCTGGGCCAGTAGATAAAAATGCTTAAAGACACAGGATTCTTTTGGGGAAAGGTGGGCTAGTAAGCCGAATCCTTATAAGGAAGCAGGGCATGTCCTTAGCAAAGCCAGACTTCTAACCCTCTTCCTTTTCCCCTGCTAGGACTTGGTGGCCTGGGTGACAGCTGGCTTCCTGCACATCCCACATGCCGAGGATGTTCCCAACACGGTGACTGTGGGCAATAGTGTGGGCTTCTTCCTCCGACCCTACAACTACTTTGATGAGGACCCCTCCTTCAACTCTGCTGACTCTGTCTACTTCCGGGGGGACCAGGATGCAGGGGCCTGTGAGGTCAACCCCCTGGCTTGCCTCCATCAGACTGCTGCCTGTGCTCCCGACCTCCCTGCCTTCTCCCACGGGGGCTTCTCTCACAAGTAGTTGGTCCCTAGGGTGGGGAGTCTTGCCAAGGGCTCCAGGGCCAGGGTGTGGGGAGAGGGGGCAGCTGGGCATCCTGGCTCCCTGATCTCCTTCATCACACTCCCAATGTCCCCGCCCCTCCCCAATGTCCTCTCCCCTTCATCACCTCCCTTATACCCTCTCCTGCCGGGAGCATCCCGAGCCTGTGATACCTCTGACACGGGACCTCAGCTTTGATGATCTCAGACGTGCTGGGTTCCCACCCAGAGAGGAAAGGAATGGCTCAGCTGGAGCCAGGAGTGATAACCAAGCTTTTCCCCACAAGACAGCTTTTTTTTTTTCTTTTGCATTCTGCTTTTCCCACATCTTTTTAGGCCATTTCCGGGTGTCTCCTGGGTCTCCAAAGTCCCTCCCTTGGAAGATGAGGATGGAGGCTCCACAATGGGGATTGCCCCAGGAGGCTCCAGGGCAGGGTTCCTGCATGTCCACAGATGTGCTAGAAGGGCCCCTCTGTCTATATTCCCGCTCATCCTCTTCCTTCTCTCCCTTCCCCTCCCTCCTGTCTCACCCCCTCCTCCTCCTCTTCCCACCCGCTCGTATATCCTGGGATATCCCTCAAGGTCCTGAGGTTCCTCTGCCTTAACCCGTGGTGCTCCCCAGCCCTCATTTCTCAACTTCAGTCTCCTCTCCAGCCCCTGGGCCTGTGGAAATCTCAAAGATGCAAGGGGATATCTAGTTTGAGGGGACACTCCCTGTCTGTCCCCCTGCGGCTGTCACCTAGTCCAGTAGGAGTTGTACTCACCCGCATCCTGGGGCAGAGTTGTGCTTCCAGACAGTTCCCTCTACTGATTTGTACCTGTCTGCCTTGCCCCAGTGGTGCAGTAGTTAAACACTCAGCTGCTAACCAACACGTTGGCAATTCAAACCCACCAGCCACCCCGCAGGAGAAAGATGTGGCAGTCTGCTTCTGTAAAGATTATAGCCTTGATGCCCACTCTTACATCTGCTATTCAGTATTGTACTTGAAGTCCTACCTGGAGTAATTAGGAAAAATATATAAAAGGTATCCAAATTGAGAAGGAAGGAAAAAAAAGATTATAGCCTTGGAAACCCTATGGGGCAGTTCTACTCTGTCCTGCAGTGTTGCTATGAGTCGGAATCAATTCAACAGCAACAGGTTTGGGATTTCTTTTTTTTTTTGGCCTCGGACTCTTTGGACAGGATATTCCTGGTGACAGCAGCAGTTCAAGTTAGCATTTTAGGTGGCTTTGTGGGTCGTGTGTGACCAGTGGCCTCTACTCTGCAGCAGCCCCTGTGGGAGGTGGGGTGGGCACCGGGTGGGAAGCAGAAAGCCCCTGGAACATCGAATCAATTGCAGGCATGCAAATGAGCCATGGCCTCTTGTGGGAACACAGTCTCCAGGACCTCTCACTGCTGTCCCTCCTGGGGGTATGGACTGGGATGGGTACAAAGAAATAGCAAGAGATTGGGAACAGAATCATCCTTCTGTAGGGGATTGATTAAAAAACTTCTGATACAGCCTTGCAGTGCAATGCTATGCAGCTTTAAAAAATTGTATCTTTTTATATACTAATAGAGAATAATCGTCAAATGAAAAAGGCAAGTGAAGTTGTTAGAGCACTTCCCATTTGTGTTTTAGAAAGGAGAATATAAATACATATTGGCATATCTATTCATATTCAGAAGAAACAGGTGCCTCTGGTTGCCCCTGGGGAAGGGAACCCAGAGGGAGGGAACAGGAGGGAGGGGACTTCATACTGTGCAGTAAGTCCCTGGGTTACAAACGTCCGACTTGCCCTTCAATGTTATGTAAATTTGCCCTCACCTTGAAACAGTCCAACCAACCCCTACTCGCAACGAATTCTTCATCACAACCACCTTCACTTGCTGCACGTGCAGCTTTTAAATCACTGAAAAGGCTTTGAGCCTTTTCTTGCACTAAAGAAAAACCGAACCTATTGCCGTCGAGATTCTGACTCATAGTGATCCTATAAGACAGAGTAGAACTGCCACATAGGTTTCCAAGGAGCAGCTGGTGGATTTGAACTGCTGACCTTTGGTTAGCAGCTGTAGCTCTTAACCACTGTGCCACCAAGTAAGGCTAAATAAGAACCGTATGCACCTATTCTGACCTACCTACAAAATCGACTTAAAGACACAGGAACAGATCTTGTTTGTAACCCGGGGACTGCTTGTATACCCTTTTGCACAGTTTGAATTTCGAAACATGTGACTATATTATCTGTTCAAAATAAATAATAAATGGGTCCAAACAGGTGCTGACATGTTTTTTTAGGAAGGGATGGGGGCGGGAAGAGAGGGTAAGGTGGGTTAAGGAATAGATTCAGGGACTGAATTTTCTCAAGTTCTTGAGAGCCAGAAAGCAGGTGTGGTTTCTGATAACTCTTTTGCCTTCTCTTGCTTATGTATCTCTCAGAGAAGTGTTAAGCCTCTGTCAATGTTTGTCTGTCTCTTTCTTCTAGAAGAGGGGTCAGAGAGAAGCCACAGGGAGGGGGTGACTTCTGTTAGCTGGAAGCCCAGGTTAGGGCAGGAGGTGAAGTGCAGGAAACAGAGGTTTTGGATCCTCCTCAGCTTCTGACCAGAGGGAGATCATATCCCAGGATCCCAGACTCCACAGAAGCTTTGGCTACCTTCTATCCTGCCCCAGGCCCAGGCTTACCCCAGGATCAATGGAACAGCAGATGGGGCAAGTCAGTGAGCTGGAGAGGAACTAAATTCCAAAGAACAGGGCCAAAGACTTCAGCAAGCAGCACAGACCAGCGATGGCTGTACTGATTTATAATACAGCCTAGGGTGGATGCAGGCAGTTTGCTCTTGGCTACTAACTTAAAGGCTGGAGGTTCAAACCCACTCAGTGGCACTGTGGAAGAAAGGCCTGGCAATCTGCTTCTGTAAAGATTACAGCCAAGAAAACCCCATGGAGCAGTTCTACTCTGTAACACATGGGGCAGTCTGCTGAGGATGGAGGCTCCATGAGTCGGAGTCAACTCAACGGCAGTGGGTTTAGTTTTTTGTTTTTGTTTTTACTCCTTCTACAGCTTTAAAGAACAAGGGAGAGGAAAACCTGTTATATTTCCATATCAGAATATAGTCAGTTGCATAAACATTTCTGGATAACCTGACCCTTTTGGTATTGATTTACCTAGTTTAACTCTGCCAAGTTTCCAAGTATCTCACTGCCTTCCTGCAATTACTACCCTGCCTATAACACGTACCATATGAGACTTCATGCTGTTACCTCTGCTACTCGCCCACTCCACGTCCCCACCTCACATCAAATATGCTGATCTTTTGGCTGTGCCTGCCCATGCCAAGCTATTTCAAGTTTCCATACCTTTGCACCTCTGTCCCCTTCGACAGCAGCGTCCTTCGTTTTCTCTACCAGGCTAATGCATTCTATCTTCAAGGGTGGCTCAAGCTCCCTTCCTGGGGAAGTCTTCCTGGACGCATCCAGGGTCATGAAGGACGCATGTCCCTTCTCTGCAACCTCAGTCTCTCCCAGTTCCTCTTGGGACCTGGCTGCCCAAATGACAGTAGTCTTCTGTCACCAGCAGAGAAGCTACCCAGACATTGACTATGAAGAATGGAGGCGACTTTGCTCTCTGCGTCTACAACACCTGGGAAGAGTTTGCTGGAGTTGAGGACTGTGGGGCTTCTAGGCTACCCCCACAGTCAGTTTCCCAGCCCCAGCTGACCTCTGATCTGGCCTGTGAGTTCTGCTCAAGGGGGTGAAGTGAAGGTCTCGATTATGCTCTGCCCCACCGCTGCCGCAATGAAATGGCCAGCTTCTCACTTGCTGTACATCCTGCATCCTCCCTCCACATGGCGCAGGGCACTTGGGACCTCCCCAGTGTGATCTGGCTCAGCCCTCAAGCTGCTAGCCCTCCCCAGGTGCCTTTTGTTCTAACTTTCAAGCTTCCCTTGGGCTCATGGGTAGAATTCTGGTTGACGGAGGTGGGGGACAGGAGACAGTGGTGGGGAGCAGACCCTGGAGAGGTAGCAGGCCAGAGGGAGGAGGGAAGTCAACTGAGGTGTGTGAGTGGGTGGGTTTTGCCTGCAGCCTTGCAACCGGAGCAAAGGGTCCGTTTGGAGGATGGAGGAAGAAGAGCCTGAGAACAGCCCCTTTCTGCCCCCATCGCTTCTCCTTCTTCTTGCCAAAGCCAGCTGTGTTGTGTTATCTTCAAACCCACCCTCCCCAATCCATTACCCAACCCTGACCCAGACTGTGTTGTTTGATTTGGAACAGGAGGACAGAGGCTTACATGGGTCACTTAGAGTTCAGGTTCCTACCTCGGCCCCACCCCCTCAGTCAGGCCTAATCCCTGGCCCCCTCCAGCCTCACCCCACCCACCCCTCTGCCCTTGGCCAGTTGTCTTCACTATTACCCATCATGCCTCTTGCCTGGCCGCACCACCCAGAGACCAGGATCCTCAACCAGAGAGAGGCACCCAGCTCCTGTCTGTTCATTTTTGTACCTCCTGTTCTGCATTGAGAATCAAGAACCTGACGATTGGCCAGGAGCTTCTAGCTATGGTGGTCTTCATTATTTTGACCATGTTTAGTGTTCTGGTAACAGGCATGGATGGAGGTGGGGCTGGGAGTGCGGGTGGGGGAGAGAGGAGATGTAAACCCAGCCAACCTCCCCACTGCCCCTCCATATCACCTAGTGCCCAGCCATGGACACAGGCTGGCCAGAGCCAGCTGTTTGCAGACCTGAGCCAAGAGGAACTGACTGCTGTGATGAAGTTTCTGACTCAGCACCTGGGGCCTGGGCTGGTGGATGCAGCTCAGGCCCAGCCCTCGGACAACTGTGTCTTCTCAGTGGAGTTGCAGCTGCCCCCCAAGGCGGCAGCCCTGGCCCACCTGGACAGGGGGAGCCCCCCACCTGCCCGGGAGGCCCTGGCCATTGTCTTCTTTGGTGGACAAGCTCAGCCCAACGTGAGTGAGCTGGTGGTGGGACCACTGCCTCGCCCATCCTATGTGCGAGATGTGACTGTGGAACGCCATGGAGGCCCGCTGCCCTACCACCGACGGCCTGTGCTGGCCCGAG